TTTTTTTTTTTTTTTTTTTTTTTTTTTTTTTTAATTAAAAATTTTTTTCAAAAAAAAAAAAACAAGCAACCCTTCCCAGGGAGGGGGGGGGGTAGTAAAGCATGGTGGGCCGCCAGGCTTATAATACACTGGGGGAAACCCTGCAAAACCAATATGGAACAATATCGATATAATTGAGCAGGAGTGTCTGTATTTGGCTTACACAAACCAGGCAGGTCCAGAAGCAAAGAATAACACTAAATATCCCCATAAATGAATATGGTTTCTATCTCTGTACATGATGCTCAACAGAAGGCTTTTGGATATGCATACAGAAAAACAGTTACTGTTTAACAGAAGAGTAAAGCCTTCATTTAAGTAAATATAACACTTTTTGTTTGGTCACAGGAGGGGCTGGTCTATGCAGTGGAGTTCTCCCATCGATCGGGTCGTGACCTTCTCAATGTGGCAAAGAAACGCACCAATATCATTCCAATCATTGAAGACGCCAGGCATCCACACAAATACCGCATGTTGGTTGGTAGGTAGTTCTGGAAACACCAGTCCTCTTATTGCCCCACTAGGACAGCTGGGGCTGTGGGCGTGAGCTGTATGTCGTAAACATGTCAGTCTCACACAGTTCCTGCTTTTCCAACCAATTCCAGCTTGTAACATCTGAACAACTTGTTACTAAAATATGTGTTTACTTGGAGACAAGTCTTTTGATTTCTGTTTTTTGTAACCAAGCTACTTGTTTAGTGGCTTCATAGATGATATCCTGTTGAACACCTGGTTGAATGTCACCTCATTTGTCCAACCAGCTGGTGAAAGAGCAAACCATGCATCATATATTCAGTGTTACCTTTTCTTTTAGGCATGGTGGATGTCATTTTTGCCGATGTGGCCCAACCTGACCAGACGAGGATTGTTGCTTTGAATGCTCACAACTTTCTGAAAAATGGAGGACACTTTGTTATCTCAATAAAGGTTTGTTCATAACTTTATCAAAAGACAGTAAATTTTTTAATAAAAGGCTGATTGCTGAGCATAAACCTTGATTTTTGGTACTTGCCTGTTGTAATTCCACATCAAGAGCAGAGGGTGTTTTGTGATAAGTTGGTGAAATCTAAGATTTGACTCAAATCAGGCGAGCACACTGGTAATTAAGAGAAAGAAGCATAACATTGGTGGTCTAATTAAGCAATTAATTGCATGATTGATTGCATTTTGATTCTCATGATTAATATTTTTTGAAGGGTAATTTCTTTACATTGGCTTCCATCACTTTGAGGAATTTAGCTATAAAATGTGAGGAAGCGTGGATGATGGCTTCATTCCACTTTTGGAATGTTTTACACCTGACTCTAATACTCTCAATTGAATTCAAATCGTTCAACAAAGCGATTGTACTAGGTTATTAAATGATCTTTTATTCATTTTCATTTTATTATTTTAACATTGAATGCGTGTAGGTTGTGTGTTTTCATTGGCTTTTTATCCTCTGTAGAACATCTTGGAGTGGATGTATGTACTTTTGTAGGGTTTATATTTTTTGTGCTGATGAACCAAGAGTTGGTAACAGTGTTCACTCCAAACATGCAGACATGAGCTGTGGACCGGTCTGTCAGTGAAACCTCTCTCACAGGAGAGCAGAAGACGAGTGTGGTTGAGTTTTAGACCTTTGATGAGGTAGAGAAGATCAGGGGATAGAATCGGCTTCCTGTGTAAGAATTGGCTGATCTCCCCAGGTTAAGGAAATCGGCACAGATAAATCGGTGTATCCTTAATCTCATCACCTTACAGAATGAAAACTATTTTGGCAGCACATGGTCATGATGTGAAGAATGGGTAAATGGCACCTAATAAAGGATGATTTAGATTTGAACTTGAGTGAACTGCAGAACATTTGTTGTGACTGGGTGTAGGAATGAAGATGAATGTACTAAGCATATTTTCACCAGATGGATTAGTCCAACTCTGCTTTTATTCTGCTACATTAAGATTCCTCTGTTTATGGGTGATGTACTCAGTGAAGTTGATACATGTGAAATTGTGAAGCTCAAGCCTTTTTGTTGTTGTTTTTAGGCCAACTGTATAGACTCCACAGCAGCTCCAGAGGCAGTTTTTGCTTCTGAAGTGAAGAAGATGAGTGCTGAGAACATGAAGCCACAGGAACAGCTGACTCTGGAGCCCTATGAGAGAGACCACGCTGTGGTGGTTGGCATCTACAGGTAACCTCACATCTCTGCTCCTGAGGACCACTGCTCAAGTCAAACCTACAAACAACTGTATGACAAAGATAACTTTATCTGAGATGAAAACATGCATAGATCTAAATGTGCAAAACCATTCATGTACAAGCTCTTGAATATTTAAATGGATTGGTCTACCAGGTCGGTACTGCTGTGGGAACTGCTGTAATACTTGTTAGCTTTCTTTTGATGATCTTGAGTTTGGTAAAGTGTGCAAGGCCCATAATGACCCTGTTTTTGTGTTTTCAGACCTCCACCTAAACAGAAGAAATGAGGTGTGGAAAATGAACAGAAGGCATCACCATCAAGTTGAACCAAATCTCTTTCAAGTTGCCCTCCTTCTCAATCTCTGTCGACCTGACAGAGGTACAGCTCTGAGCCACCTTTAGCTTTCTAACTCCATTTAGTGGGAATACCATTCAGTTCTTCCACAGCTGTTGTTTTATCATATGTAACACATACATTGTACATAAATTTATGTAAAATATGATTTGCCCTGTCTCTCTGTCTAAGCCTTTTCAAAACTAATCAAACTTTTAAAAGTTAACTAGATTTTATAAAATACATTGGTAAATAAAAACACATTTAAATCCAAAGTACATGTAATTGAGTTGAAACATGACCACAGACTTGAAAATCCACAAACGGTTTGCTTCTGCGTTCTTTTCCGAGTCTAAACGCAGCATTGTCTGAAGTGTCTATGAACCATTCTCCGGGGAAACACAAGATAAAAACTTCTTGGCTGGACTCCTTTGTTTTTCTTCTGCTGTCTGTGGCATGGATATCTTGTAGATAAAATAGTGACAGACCAAAAATTCTGGAGGCAGTTTGCACAATTATTGATGGTGTAGGTATCAATCAATCAATCAATCAATCAATCAATCAAATTTTATTTGTATAGCACATTTCAGCAGCAAGGCATTTCAAGGTATTTTACATAATTAAAAATCAAAATAAAAATAGCATGTGACATTGAATCAACAGTAAGAAAGAGAAAGGTATATTACCAAACCACATCAGTCTGCATGCAGTAAGGATAGTTTTATTACTGACTGGTTAAATTGAGGGCTTTAGTGTGCAATTCTACAGTTATAATAGTGGAAGCACATTATATTAATACCAAATTAGTCTCTCTCTTCTGACAAAATTTGCCAAAGTGGAGATGAATGTGTAAAGTTATTTCTTTGAGAGAAACCCAAATCCCATTGCTGTCATCACACTGTTGGCCAAAGGATGTAGATGTGTCATGTAACCTTTGTTGTGATACCAGCGTTTTGAATTTTGGGATGTTTGGTTTGACAGATAGTTGACCTGTAAATGGGTCTTTTGGGAAAAAAAATTGTACAGTTTGTCTCTAGCTCAAGGATGAGTCATTAGGGAAAATTGCTTGATGTAGTGATTCTTTGGCTATTCATTTTTACAGCCAAAGATTTTTCTTGATTTTTTTTTTCTTTTTAATAAAAAATATTTTGGGTTTAATATTTCACCACACTGTTTAGGCAATGGTTGTACATGCATGTATTTCATTGTGTCTTTTAAGACGTCTTGTACAGTGATCGTCTTTGGCTTCACCACTAATTGTACAATTCAGTCAGGAGTCCTTACATTTGTTCAGAGTTAAGATATCTAATGCATGTACAAGGGAAACGGACTTCTACCCTGGTCATTAAAAAATATCAGCGGATAATGCTAGAGTGAAAAAATAACGTGTTAACATTTTTTAGAAAGCAAACATATTTAAATACTTTTTGTTGTTTTTGATGATTGAATCTGTTACTTCTGTAGCAGACAGACACGCCTGCATTATTCTCAGTTCTGGTATTTGGAGAAGCCGAGACCTTAAAAGTTCCTTTAGACTTGAAGTTATGCAGCTGCAGCGCAGGACGTCGCAACTTTTTTTTTTCTAATGTTATATATAGTTCAGGTCTTGCTGTCGTTTCCGATTCATGAGGGATGATATTCAGTGAAAACATCCAGTTTTTATTTTAAACTGCTCGTCAAAGCTGCGTTTCTCCTTGATGCCAAATAAACATTATTCTTCTGGATCCGCATGCTCACAACATACACCGGTATACTTTAGCATTAACCTTTTCACGTCAATATTAGCACGTTTGTCGCGAGGACTGCTTGTAGGGAAGCGCTTGCGTTAGGTTTGTTTTGGCAGCCATTTTGTGGGAAATGCCTCAAGAACGCGCTTAATCGGGAGTGCGCGCTCAATGCAGCCCCTCTCCTTTGACCGATATTTCCATCAGAGGGGCTGGGCAGACCAGGGTTAGCTGTACCTCTGTCCGCTAAACTATAAAGTGCTATTTCATTGCGTTTACAAGACTGCTCCTTCGGCTGTGTTGCTGTCAAGCATTATGCCCTGTGCGGACTGTCTTCAAATTCCAATGGCAGTATTTTATTAGACAGCTAACATGCTAGCTACTAGCTAGCTAGCTAATGTTAGCAGCTTTTTTTTTTTTTTTTTTTTTTTTTTTTTTTTTAAACCTTTAAACCAATAAGAAATCGGACGTGATCATCAATGAAGATCATTTCTAGCTGTTCTCACAAAGTGGCCTCCTTTGGACGTCAGATTAAGTTTCGTTAAAATAAATGAAGTGTGTAGACTAAAGAAGCTGTCGGTGGTAGAGGCGGTGGGCAGCCCACCTCTGGGCACAAGTAGCGGTGCGGCGCCGGCAATAAGTCCATGTCCAGAGTGATCGCAAGCTGCAGAGACAAGATAACACACTTGTGTTGGAAACGAACATAATCAGGATCATAGCAAAAATAACAGCTTTATACAATTTGGATTTTGACTAGTAAATACTGACCCGGAGGAGGGGGCTCTGTTCGTGTGAACGAAGGGAGATTGGGGTTCCGAAGATGGCTGCTCCACGGAACTTGGTTCGACACACTACCTGAGGTAAGAATCTGAGGGTCATTGTATGTCTTGGATGTGTAAAGTTGGCTTGACTTGTAGCTGTGTTGCTGTGTGTCAGAGGCTGGCCGGGCAGGCGGTGGGAACAGGAGGTGGGTAGAAAACGGTCATCTGTTCCAGCCAACCGGCCTCGTGTCACCATTAGGCTGTCGCGGCAGGGCAGATGGCTTAACATGGGCAAGCTTTAACACAACTGGGGTGTGCAAGTTGATGCTCTGATCATGTCAAACGGGCACGAGCGTTTTATTGGAAATAAATGTTTCAGTGAGAGGCTGGTCATTTCCTGTGGTTTTGCAGCAATGCCCAAAATCACGCATTCGCAACCCCATCCTCCTGTTTCCACAGACAGCGGTCCGAAAAGATCATAAATGGGCTCATAGGTTTGTGCGATTTGAGCGGCATTCAGCTGCGCTGCCGTTGCGACGTGCAGTCAGTTAAAGTACTGGCAGATGGAGACAGATGCCGGCGGAGGAAAAGGGAGGGAGATGAATGAATGTGGTGTCTTTAACCAAGACGTGCTGACAGAAAGCGGTGCATAATTCACTTGCTATGCTCGTTTAGCGTTAAAGCACACACGGTATGTTATGTCTTGGTCCTTATCTGCTTATTGGACATCCATCATTTTATCTTCCACGGCAGCTAACGTTAGCCGTTAGCCTAGCTACCGCATCAGCCCATCCCCTACCCTGCCAGGGAGTACTGGGAAACAGGACTGTTGCCTGGAGATGGCTACTCCCAGTCAAAGTGCAGAACGACCAGGACCGACGCTAATGTACATCTGGAACCAGCAGAACTTGACATCTTTGGTTATTTAGCTCTTTCCCCTTCTGTTGCTTTTCTGAAAAACTCATTGTCTGACCGCCATTGAACATTTTGAAGTTGGGTGTTCACGTTTTTTGAGTTTTAAATGGCTAATGGTCAAAGTGTTTTTATTTATTCTTTAAATGTTGGCTTTTCTCTGGATCACCAGGCTATGCTGTTTATGCCACTATGATTTTTGGGTAGATTGTTTTTCTCTGCTGTTCCTGTGAACATCACATCTGTTTTATTCCTTTGGTTACTCAAATCTCAATTGAGATTAAGCCATTTAAAAATATTAACATTTATGTCAGTTGATTCTTCTGAGTTGTAGTTTCAAAATGGAGTAACAAAAGTACTAAACGTTGCACCATTAACCTCAAGATACATGGTGCTTAGTAAAAGTATTTTGTGTGCAGTAAGTCTAGAAACCTGTTTTCATTCCATGCGGGGAGGCCTTTCTTATTTTTATTTTGTTATATGCAGATTATACTGTTTTGGCCCTGGTCTTTAAAACGGGGTGTATAGGTGTCTGGCAAAGCATAAAGGGAGCAGATGGAAGCGTCCAGTTCTGTAGCTAGGTCTATAGACTAACCAGCTAGAAGTGCTTAGGGGTGTATATATTCACTTTTTTCACTTCTGATACTGATATGTGGTTTAGTATTGGCCGAAACGGATCCGTTTCAGAAAAACAGTACTGAACTGACTTAAGATGTCTCTTTATTAAAAACAGACAGATGTCCTGAATAACAAATTTATTTGCTAACTTATGGGTTACTAAGATGACCTGGAACATCTTGGTAAGCCCGGAACGTTAGCTGGAGATAGGCACCAGCACCCCTCCCGACCCCACTGAGGGACAAAGGTGTTCAGAAAATGGATGGATGGATGGATGGATGGATAACACTTTACATTGGGTTTTGTTTCAACCCGAAGAAACCCCAAAGTAAGTTATTTTAGTTTAGGTGTGTTATAGATGTAGTTTGTCAGCGGGCGCAGCCTACTCACTGCTCACCATGACATAGTCTAGATCTGCGCTGGTGTTGCGCTATGTATCTACAGTTACAGTGTTGCATAGATCAAAGCTATGCAACACATTCCATGGAACGTATTCCGTTAGACATGAATTCCTTCGATCACATCAGTAGTTCTGGCATTGTTTTCTTTCCACTTGTATCTTTATGGTGGATGTTGTCATCTCTATCATCTCTTTTTTTTTTCTAACACCCCTTACCGGCTTGGGGTGGACAGAGCTAAAACTAGCTGACAGGCAAAATATCTTTCTGATTCCATAAGCAATGTGTTACCAGGGACTTCTTTCACTTCAGGGTGACAGAGGGACACCTCTAGAAGACACAGTAAATGTCATCCATATCTAATGTCTAATTTCAAAATAAGAGCCCATCAAAATAAGACATTTTTAGTTTTTTTCTGTAAGTTGCCCTAAGTTATTGCTGGAAGAACTCTGTTACCAGTGGTGTGCTGATCGATCGGCCGCTGATCATAATCGACGGATTTCCGTGAAAAAGTATGATCGGTCATTGCTGAGCACTGTCTCTTGTTATCAATCACAAAAACCGATCACCTGCATCTCAGACTTCGCAACCTGCAGAAGCCAGTGCAGCATATCTCTCTTTTTACTTCACACTGCATATGCTCACAGCAGCAAATAAGCAATGTAGTGTAGAACTTTATCGCTCTGAGAGTAGGGTTGCCACCTTTCAGAATTTAAAATGGGGGCGCCCACCACGGCGCATGTCGCCCTACTCATGGGGTAGGATGGGTTTGCAGTGATGGACATAATTTTATGGCAGTGTTCTTTGTTTAAAAAAAAAAAGTGATCCATAGAGCAATCGTTCATACATAGAGGTTGGTTAGGGTACTCAAATTGTACTTCAGTCTGAGTAGTATATCTTCAATACATTTAATTAAGCAAGTGTAAAAAGTAATTTGTAAACTACTCAAATACTGAGTAACTGATTCTAACACCTGATTTAATATTCAAAATGTGTCCTCAGACAGCCAAAAGTATAAAAGTTATGTGAAAATTCTGCATTCCCAACATATTTATACAAATAAGGAGTTAGGTTTGGAGTCTGGTTCTAGGTCAGATTTATCACGGGGGGCCGCTGTAGTCAGTGTTTTTTTATGGCGACATTTTAGAAAGAATGAAACAAAAAACCCGAGCAATACATTTCATTGTTTGATATGTTAAGTGACCCAAAGAGTCTCCAGAGACACAGGTTGCAGCCCCCTGATCTAGTAGATGGAAAGTGTGATCCCGTCTTGATCACACAGGATCAGCAGCTAAAAGTGCAGCACTATAATTTTTAATTTATTGTTAAAGTAAAATTGTGAAGATTAAAAAAATCTACCCCTGAGTATTAACAAAGCATATTTATTTAGTATCATTTCTATGGCATCCCTGTTGAGCACTGCCAAGAACCGCCCGAGGGCTGCAGGTCTGTGTCTGACATTAATAATACATTAAATGACCATTGAACACTGAATTCATAGAAGATATCAACATTTCTTAATAAAGCACACAGAAAGCCTTAACAAACCTTTTTAAAGTATGAAATATTTATGTATTTGCAGTTAATCTATTAGTATGACTTGTTCTTTAAATGGCCATTTATATGATTTTGACTGATACTATTATACATTAAATAAACTATAAGCAAATAATTAAACCATGATGGTCTACTAAAAGCATAATAAGAAACTGAATCAGTCACATTTAAATGTTCTACCAATATCAGCCTCAGGAGATGATTGAGGGATGAAGAGACACTGATGTCTGGTTCTTTAGGTTCTGATGGGTCTGCAATGTCTCTCTGCTGATCCATTCTGTCTGATTGCTGGGTTTCAGACTCGTGACCTGGGTGACGCATGAAATTCAGATGGGGGTCAGGAAGTGGATTTCTCTGGTTCAAAACAAAGCAAAATGGATGACAGCGAGTACAATAATGCCATGAATGGGCTGGAACAGACAAGGTATCTTGAAAAAATACACATTTATTTAGGATATGATCCATATTGTCTCAGTAAAAAAGACTTGTTAGAGTTGGGTACCTCAGATAGGTCAGTGCTCCATCACAGGGCCACACTCGCAGTTCAGTCTTCTGTAAACCTAACATGCATGTTTAACTGTGACAGCATTGTCCAGAAAAGCCATGCAGGAATTCAAACATCACACATTATATCTGAGGTAACTGTGCTTTTCACCACAGCAGGGTAAAGTTGTAAGTTTGTCATAAAAAGCTTTATTTTATTTATTTATTTATTTTTTGCCTTAATACAGTGGTTCCCAAACTTTTTCTCCTGCGCCCCCCCAGTGGCAGTGTTGTGTTCAAGACCACCTAAC